AATTTTTTCCATGAATCTCTCCACAGAAAAAACTCTTTCATTTAATTGATGTTAGTGTGATGGTAATTAATAATATGTTATCTAAACTTTAGTTTTACTTCCCAGTTGCTTCCAAATTGTTAAGTTCATTTATGAGGTTTTTTAAGTTTCAAATGTTTTTAACAATGAGAAAAAATAAAACATTAAAAGAATAGTTATTAAAAAACTTTGTGTTAAGATAAAAGACCTCGAGTTTTATTAGCTGCACAAGCGATGTTTAGCTATCACTTTCACCCTTAGTATCCTGGCGTCTCGTTTGAGAAAACTAGTGATTAGCTTGGACACAGAGTAATGGAGATAGTAAACGATGCTAATTTTTTTAGATGAGCAAAAATAAGCTCATTTAAATCCATTTTAGGATAGGTTTTTTTATGTACTAACTGTTTTAGGTTTTGTTTTTGACTTAAAAAAACTAATCAAATTAGACACAATGCCTCTAAGTTTAAGAAAAATGTTTGTTTATTATAAAAAATCTCAGAAACCTTTTTTGCCAATCCAATCAATATCTTGGATTAGCTAATTAGTGCTTAGAATTAATTCTGTTAATGGAATTCTTTAGCCTGTTTATTGTTTCCATTGTCAAATAAAACTTGTAAATTTTTTTGTAAAATAAAGTTGAAATTTTTTTTTTTCAGGCTCCTTGCTAGACGGATACCAAACCTACTTTAAATCATTAGCTTCCATTATTTCACTCTTATTGGGAAAGTTTAGTTACAGACTATTTGAAAACGCTAATTCTGTTCTTGGACCGATCTTCTTTTTTGGATTTAATGCCATTGTAATTTGGATTGTTATGAACATTTTTATATCAATCTTAAATGATGCATTCACTGCAGTTCGTACAAATCTTCAGTTCCAGACTAACGATTATGAAATTGTTGATTTTATGATTGTGCAGTTTAAAGGTTTTTATTTTAAATTGCTTTAACTCTACAATTCAATTTAAATCAATTAGTTGCTTGTTTGATTTTTTGTTTTTTATTATTGTTATTATTTTTTTAAATCAAATTTACATTTTAATTTTAATTAAGCTTGTTTAAAATGATGTCATCATTAAAAATAATGTCATCATTAAAAATAACGTCATCATTAAAAATGACACAAAAAATTGTTGGTATAAATGACTTACAATGTATTTATTTTTCTTAATTATATGCTCAACAATAAATCCTAAAAATTATTCAAAAAAAGCAAAGAAGAAGTTTTTCCTTTGTATTATTGTTTTAGCAACTTTAATGTAAAATATTGTTTTAAGGAAAGTTAAATAACAAAAAATGATACTAAATGAGTTGATAAACACGAATAAAGATACGATTTTGTTACAATTTTGGTTTTTTTTAAAACTGTTTATTACACAATGTTTTGTTAGAATATATTACCAACAAATTTGTTGCAATGCGATTTAAAAGTTACAAGTTATAAAAAATTGGATGCAGTTTGAATTTAAATATAAAATACATTTTTTAACAATTGAAAAGATTGTTTAATTCGTTCTTTCCTGATCTATTTGGTTTTTTATTTCTTTCGAAATTATTTTTCACACAGCTCCTCTCATAGCAAAAGGTGTTCTTTTCTTAGGTAATGGTGATAGCTGATATGATGATAGGGTTCTATTTAAAATTAGTGCTAAAACTACTTTTACACAGTTTTTATTGATTTTTATTACTTGTTAGACTGGCTTGGATTACATACTTCGAAGCAAGCAATTACAAACAACCAATATCACAATATTAAAAAATCAGAAAGCAATAATTGTTTACCGATATCATTAAGAAAAAAGTTAAGAAAAAGTCAAACTTTTGAGTTTAACGAAGGTAACTTTTGTACTATCATTTTTTTTTACGGTGGTATTTTTTAATATCCATTTTTTAAGTACAATATTTTGTTAACGTTTAGTGAGCAAAACGTTTCACTCAGTTGAGTTAAGTAGCTCAATCAATGATCGTATTTCAAAACTTTCTAAGTATGACTATTTATTACAAGTGAAAGAATTCAATCTTAACCCAAACGAATCGATTGATAAATTTATTAGCTGTATGAATTTTGTCTACGAATCAACAAATAAAAAAAATGAAGTTATATATTTTGACATTAACGATTAAAGAACAATTAAATTTAGCTCTAGATCATAGAATCGGCATCAAAAACTTTATGAAATAATCATGACTAAACTTTGTTTTATTGATTTGTTAATACTGTTTATACATTATACGTTTGTAAATGATTTTGTGGATAATACTCCTACATAGACATGTTTTGACACAGTAGCAAGGTTTTGTACTCCTACATCGACATGTTTTGATTCAGTAGCAAGGTAGAATGAGAGAAATGAGCTGCCGAGACTATTCTAAAATAAAATATTAACGTGTTTTAATATAACTTTTTTTTACTAAGTTTCAAAAACATAAAAGTTATGAGGAATAAAGAAAACTGCGTATTTTACAGACGAGTTTACGGATGATTTGTAAATAGATTAGGTTTCTAAAAATAAGTTTAAAAATAAAACTATATAATTTTTCAAAAATTATGTTTACAATTTATTAGTGCAGAACTTGCAATTGCTTTTTTTTTTTTTTTTTTTTTTTTTTTTCTTCGTTTTCATTTAATTTTTATTGTAAACGCGTATTTTTATTTATTTTTTTTTTTTAACAGTTGTCATGTAAAATTTTTTGTTGTAAAAAATTTTTGTAGTTTCTGTGAGTTGAATAAATGTTGATCAAGCACTACTTTAAATGATTTTTTCTGAGGTTTAACAGTTAGTTTATACTAGTGAATTTATCGGTGCTGGATTAACCGATAAGCCAGATTATGCCTGACCATGTTCCAGCCCAGCATTTACAAATAGGCTCTACTCGTTTTTTAACCTGAACACGTGGACATGGGTAACAGGATACAGGCTTTAGATAGATATCGTATTGAGCCAGCCCTTTTACCTAACTTAACGTAATATTCTGTGATATATATATATGTGCATAGATCTCGGAATATTCTGTGAAGTGATTTTATTGAAGAGAAAAAACGTTCTCTTTTTTTTTACTTTATTCATTTAGTATACATTTTTATTAAAAGAGTTATGTACTCATTCTAAAATTGGAATGATTTATGATTTTGTAAAAGAGTTAGCTAAAGTTTATAAACCATGCACCGTTCTCCTAAATGAGCAATAAGTGTCAACTCAAATTCTAAAGAAACCACAATATGCCTGTGAAAGCTTATGACTCCTGGATTCCAAAAATATAAAAAATCAAATCATCCTATTACGTCCGAGAAAGAAAATCACTTTTGAAAATTTTTATTTTGTACATATTCATGAAATGACAGCATTCTCGAAATTTTACATTTTTACAGCATATCTTAACATTCAAAAAGCTCTTTGAAAATAATAAAACCTACTTAACATAATAAAGAAACAAAAAATATGAAAATGTGAAAGATTTTATGTTATAAAATTGGTAGTAATCCAAATAGGTAAAAGATCACTTGGGTAAAATATTGTTTTTCTGAAGGTTTTTTCTAATAAGTTAACTCTAGAATAATTTCAATAATAGTTTGGTAGTAATCCAAATAGGTAAAAGATCATGTGGGTAAATACAAAAGAAATATTAAAATAAATTCCACATTTAAAGCAACAACATTCTTGACAAAAAAAATTCTTTACAAATTCCAAACTGTTCAAAGACTTTTGCTGTTAAAATCAACTAGGCACATTTCTAGCCTTTTTCCATAATCCGGATGGCTGATAGGTTGTTTGTATTGTTGCCAATGGTTCTGAAAACGATGATGAATAGATTATGTTGCTTGCTCACTTTAGATTCCAAGAGGAGACCTTGTTTTTTGGATGAAATCCTTAACATGGAAAAACACTGCATGTACTTTTGGAGCGATGCTTCCTCTTGAATGAATCAATTTTTTCTGCATAAGTGCAATCCAACTTGTTGCCAAAACATGCAGAAACAATGGGACCAAACTTTCGAAAGCTGTCAATGATGCTGAAAACTTGAAAGGCACTGTCATTTTCAGCCAGTGTTTGGAGAAGGTCGAGATTTTTGAGGAGCTTGTGGCAATCATTCCCAGCAAATTGACCACCATGAATAGGTTGGGGCTGAATGTGCAAAGCTTGGAGCCATTCAGCTGATTTGGGCCAAAGGTCAGTTAAAATCTTGAACAGATGGTTAACAACCCCAAGCAGTAGATGAAGCTCCATTGGTGGAATGAGATCAAGCACAAGTGCATCATCATCAAGTGAGAGAATAGGGTCATGAATCACGTTTTCAAACAATTTTGCTTTCTTGATGTCGGATCCAGCTGCTGTGTAGGTTTTGTGTGCTTGCTCCAAAGATCTAAAAGTCCTCAGAGTACCCCGGTTTGCAAGGTTAGAGCTTTCCACAGTGCACCTTGTGCATGGATGAGCTGAAGCATGTGATTGCAATCCAAAAATTATATTTGCCAACTTCATATCACACGAGACAACAAAGTTATTGAAATGAGAGAGAAAATGAGCTTTACATTGAAGTAATTCTCTTGAACTCCTTCAGCAACTGCAACCAGAAGTTGCTGTTTTACTCCAGAATCCTTGGACGTTGAAGATGTCAGAAATCTTTTGTTTGGCGGAGACACAGCTTCACTATCTGCTTCATTTTGTAGAACTCCAAGGCAGACTTTAAGAAAACCTCCACCACCATCTATTCCAAGTTTAATGATGTGTTTTGAGAAAACCTTCCTTGAAAGTAGAACTTCTTCAGTGAGTGCTTGGAGATTTTTGCAATGGACAACAACACTTTGATACTTCTTTTGATCTGAACTAATGAATGTTGTTTGTTCTTCTAGACTTTTTCCGAGATCCTGGAACTTGTGCAATATATTTGGTTCCAGAACTTTGGCAGACGAAACATGCCTAATGGTGGAAATCAGTTTTTTTATTCCACTGTTTGACAATCCTGTATTTAGTTGAACTTGAGCAAGATCTTTTGCGGTGACTACAACTGGATCTTTGAACAACTGCTTAGAGCAAGAAGGACCTGTTATAGAGTAAAATATATTATTTCAGTTACTTAAATGTGATGGTCGACCTTAATGAAGAATTATATACAAACCTTGTGTGATTGGGAGCAGTCCTCCTCCTTTTGGCTGCACATGTTTAATGGTTCAACAAGGAGAAGATTCTTTGCTGACAATTGTTGAGCTGGCAATTTGTTCTGCCACAATTCCATCAGATTTTGCAAGCTCCCTTAAGTTTTCACGAAACTGTGATAAAGAGCAATGATGGGGTAAACCTCGACCAATAAGAGAGAGACATGTAGAACATCTTTTGTCCGATGTTTTCTTTCCAGTTTTTGTTCTTTCAAGAGGGTGTTTCTTTGTCAGTTTAAGTCGCCCTATATCACAAATCAAGCATTTACAAGCTTGACCACGTGTGTGAACTTTTATCAAGCATTTACAACTTGACCACGTGTGTGAAGGTTGTTTTGCCCAAACTTAACAGTTTGGGCAAAACAACCTTCTGCCCTTAATCACACTTTCCAAGGGCCAGTCTACACAGATCAAAAAGACCTTGAGGAATTCTTGGATCATCAAAGTTGAACTGCTTTTTGTAGTTGTTTTGAATTTTGCTGACCAAAAATGGTGTCAATTCACGATTTCCTTTTCTAAGACACATGATACAAACAACTTTTCTGTTCTCATCATGACTTCTTGCATGATTAGGCATTTTCAATTTATTTCAGGAGAAAAGGTTAAAAAATCGACCTTCAAAAACTTTGATATGTAGTACACTGCCTTTTCCTGGAATTTTTTTGGTAAATTCTTAAAAATATTTTTTAACTGCCTTTTCCCGGAATTTTTTGGTAAATTCTTAAAAATAATTTAAAATTACCAATATTATTCAAAAGTGCAAATTAAAAAAAACTATTAATGAAATTATTCTAGAGTTAACTTATTAGAAAAAACTTTCAGAAAAGCAATATTTTACCCAAGTGATCTTTTACCTATTTGGATTACTACCAATTTTATAACATAAAATTTTTCACATTTTCATATTTTTTATTTTTTTATTATGTTAAGTAGGTTTTATTATTTTCAAAGAGCTTTTTGAATGTTAAGATATGCTGTAAAAATGTAAAACTTCGAGAATGCTGCACATATTCATTTCATGAATATGTGCAAAATAAAAATTTTCAAAAGTGATTTTCTTTCTCGGACGTATTAGGATGATTTGATTTTTTATATTTTTGGAATCCAGGAGTCATAAGCTTTCACAGGCATATTGTGGTTTCTTTGGAATTTGAGTTGACACTTATTGCTCATTTAGGAGAACGGTGCATGGTATCAAATACAAAAAGTAATATTAATGCTTTAACATAGTTAAATTTAATGATATTATTGAACATATTTTCTGTTGATGCAATGTATTTCAGTGGAGACGAACATTGGATGCTATGGAATTATAGAGATGAGTATTGCAATGTCTTGCAAAGCTTATCTTAATTTTTCTATTGTATTGCATGTATATTATATTGCATATATTGGTGTTTGAGATAGCTTCTTTTTTTTCTAAGAACTTGAAATAATATAAGAATATAATAATAAAAGAAATCAAACATAATCATTTTAAAAATTATATAATTCTTGTAAAAAAATGACAAAGATAAAGTTATACAAAATTTCATGCAAAAAATTATACAGTTATATTACAATTTTGCTTATTAAGTTATTATTATTAAACAAACAGTTACATGATAAAAAATTAAAAATTTGTAGCGCTTTTCCTATTCATCAATTTCTATTTCCAACAATTCTTTAGCTTTTCATACAGTTCTTTGAATATTAGAAAACTTGGTTTTTTTAAGCTAGATATAAAAGGATCTGATGTATAAAACAAAATTTACAGAATGTCGTTGTTTGTTGCTGATCTGGAACCTAGCGTGATGCAACCTATATTTCTAGTAGTCTTTACTTCGGGCTTCCTAAGCATCTTCAAATAGTTGTCCTATAGGCAAAACTGTTTAATGCTCTATTATTTTAGCGCTACGGATAAGTACTTTATAGACCGAATATGGCATGTTATAGTTATATTTGCTTACATAGAATTGCCAGTTATACTTGCTTACATAGAATTGCACGGTTATCGATGTATACTGACTGAATTTTTCTGCGTTTGCAGTTATCCCGAAATCAATCCCGAAATCAATCCCGAAAACATAGTTTAAAGAACACATAAAATCTCTTGATTATTTCTTTATCAATTCCGATTATCTCTGCAGAAGATTGATAATTTTGGAAAAATCTACTCGCCGTATTTCTGTCATTGCTATTACCGGAGTCTTGACGTGGTTTACCAATGTGCAAACATTTTAAACGTTACTTGTTTTCTGGAGTTGTTGCAGACCACTTCCCAAAACTTAAATTGTAAAAAATATGGAGGATTATTTTTATAAATCTTATCCGTACGAGTGGAGTCGACAATCTGTATTTAAACGCATTTTCATTTTCAACTCTCGTTGTAACTTTTAAAAGATTATTCATTTGTACGAGAATTGCTCCACAAACAGTGCAGGTAACACTAGATGATGTGTTAGTTAACACCTGAGCAACTTTCCCATTAATCAATGTCATAAACATTTCATGTTTAACTTCGATGATTTTGTCGTCTATTGACTCAAGAGTTGGAATCAATGGATTAATTTTGGCTTCAATTTCACTGATAACCAGCTTTTTTCGGCTGGTTTAT